TAAAGGAGTAACCTCGACCCCCCTTTTCCTCCTTTACTTTTTAGAGTGTACGTGATAGTTGTCGAGAGACAGCACACGGTAATGCCACGCGCTCATCCTTAAACCATTTTCAAGTTACACAGCGCTCTGTACACTAAGGCTTCCCGATCATGCGCACTCTGATGTTTCAGCGGACGCGCTTATTGTAGTACACAAGCCATTCCGACGACCGTCGCCAGTCACTTGTCCTTCCTGCTTTACCGGCGTAGCAGCTCGGCGGGCGGGCCGGTTTCGTTGAAAGGGAGCATGTGTAACTCTTCGGATCGAGCGGAGGAGAGACACGTCGTCCAGCGGAGCGAGAGGCGTCCTGGGCGGTGACAGCGATTTGTTGGCGCCCGACGTCGTCCCAGGAGGGTTCTTGCCTCTGCCGCCGCAGCAGGCGCGGGTCGACCCCTGTCGGCCTCATGAAAGTCAATGAACGTGCGGTGGCAAGCTTTGCCGGGCTCGCTGCGACGACATCGGGTAATCAAAAAGCTCAGGTCGGGTGAGTACCGCGGGACACCCTTCGGGGGACACGTACCCGCCCTCCCTTTCCTTGTTTCCCAATGACCCCGCTTATCGGCACCGCGACAACTGCTCGCGCTTGTGTCGGGCGACTGCCGACACCCACGCGGTGGCAGAGCGCAAAGCGGCTCGCAAAACGAAAGAAACAGGCGTGAACGAAGCGATAGCATACAAAGAAGAGCGACAGAATTCGCGCGAGTTAACCGCGCTGTTTTGCAGCGAGCAGCAGATGACAGTAGCGCTTCTCGAATCCGCTCGGCTGAGAGGACGGGGAGTTGAATTTGCAAGTTGCTCAGCGGTGTTGCAGCACAGCGAAGAGCGCGCGGGGGCGAAGGAACCGCGGAGGTGTCGACATGACCGCACACGCTGCCGCGACTTTCTGGTCGGCTGAGCGTGGACGATACAGCTGTATTGCCTCGCCTTCACGCTGGCTATACCCCGAAATCATTTCAACGACAAGCCCGTCTGATCGCTCTTTTACAACTGGCTATGCCTTTCGGTATTGCAAAAACGAGTGCTAAACCTGGTCTTAGTTTTCTTGATTGGATTGAGGGGACTTTTGTGAAGCGGACTGCTGAAATCCGGGTTTAGCTTTTTTAATGTTTTCGTTGCATTCTTTTTTTTTTGAACGTGATACTGTAAAATTTACACTCGCGTCGAGACTGCTGGAAGAAGCTTTTAGGTAATCGCGGCTTGCTGTATGGTGTTCAGATCATTTGCCCTATCAGGTCAAAGAGCATGTACTCATATTCACATGTACGACTAAAAAAGCTAATGTGTACTTTTTATTTAGGGATCATATCCCACGAACATTCACGGGTGCTTCAGTTAAATTTCATGGGAGAAATCACGTAATGCCTGTGTGGTATTTAAGGATGAAAAACAGCGTGAATGAAAAAGCGTTTTACGTGTGCGACTCCCCGGAAGCATTCTAAATGCTTCCAAAGCTACATGGCTCGTTTGTGCAAATAACTACTTTTTAAGGTATCCCTCTGACTTGCTATTGCTGAAAAGAAAAGCAGCGTCTTTATTTTTTTCCCACCAGGGCATGCATTTTCATACGCACCATGAATCGAAATTTACGATATCTACCGTACTTCTCGCTCTCACCTTTTCTTCCCTTTCCCGTCTGCATACCGCCCTTATCCGTCAGCCTTATTTCCGTGTGGTGGTTTCAGCGAAACCCTTCACATAACCTGTCTGTTGGCACTATTTCTTTCATAGACAAATTGGTGCCCATCGTACGTTGCTGTGTGGCATTGTGTATCTTCATCGTACTAACAAAGAACAACTTTAGTGGCCAGACTTGCTTTAATCAGCTATTGAAAAGTTCGCGATCTTCCTTTTTTCTTGCTATGCACTCGTCGCAGCATCTCATATGAAGCCATTTTCTGTGACGAATGATGAGCGATACCACTGTGAAGAAGTACAAACGTCGATTCACAACTTGTCTCTTAACTCTATTCTACAAGAATATATGGGTCCCATATTTGTATTGGGCAATGCTCGTTCAAGTCTCACTCCTGTTCATGGTCATTCAAAACATGTGAGAACAGAATAAATACACACAATGAGGAAATCGGAGATGCGGCAGCCAGCTATGTGTAATGTCACGAAAGTAGCCGGCCAGCCAGATGTTAGCTACCAGGAAGGCATCGCTGCGATGTTAACGGAAGTGGTGTCATTCGAAGACGCACGTGCACCCAGAAACTCAAGGCATAGCTGAAGTTGTGGCTTACGTGAAGATAACGACAGAGCCATACTTGTAGCTTCAGCGGCGTTTTCGCAGTACTTCGCAGGGGGAGAAGGGAGACGTCTTGGGTCACAGGACAATGAATAGCTTTGCGAGATATGCAGGCACAACGGTGCTAAGCTCAAGTTTTATGGTGCACAAGATTGTTATACTTGATCACATAAGTTTGACCTCGTGGTAGAAACAGTCTCTTCAGGTATTTCGCGTTGATGTCGCGTTGGCGGTTGTTGTGGCTTATACATGAATTTACGACAACATGGTTCAACTCACACGTCCACAATTCGTCGTTCTCTCAAAAAGGTACGCATGCATACAAAGCCTGCGCGTACGTAATGCTGTAATACGCAATCTGTGTGAATGAACCTGTACTAACCTTGTGCTTGAGTAGGTGATGGTGATCCCCATGCGGCCTTGTACGACGTTTCTGGAATGAAAGAATGATAACAGAACACGTTAGTTCATCTATTCCTTCGCCTTTTTTTCAAGGGGTGCTACCGGAATCGTTCATTATACACGTGGTGCAAATCATTCTTCAGCTTAGGGAACGTCCTTACAACTTCTTGATACGATGACTTTAGAATGTACACTGACGTTTGTACCAAAAAGTAAATATTTACTTATAGGCACTGGAATGCATGCGGCGCCTCAAAGTGCTTACTGTGGTTCTGTTCACAGAAAGATATGTCTAGTTAAGGCATTATCTGCATTATCTCGGTGCTCGCGTGACGTGCGCTGTCGGTTGTTTTCAGTGAAAGTATCTATGCACGGTAATTACACCAATCACTTCGTAATATTGCATTTACTCTAGACACAGTGAACGTGACAGTGTTGCCTCTTTTTAGGCAAGCTCATTGATTCGATCGATGTGGTCCAGGCTGTCGCATCTGCTGTGCGACCGTATAAGGCACACGCAGTTACAGGAACACACAGTTATGGCCATCGCAAGCGGTATCGTAGATGCATTTCGTACTGGTGGTACATGATGCAGTTCGGTATTCCAAATTTAGTCACTAAAAATATGATCTCAGTGCCACAATTTCATCTACACGCCATATATTAAAAAAAGAAATATTATGATGTAAATGTTTTGAGGAGTTTGCTGCTCTCAATATCTTGTCAGAATGCGTTTTGTAATGCAAAATCAAGCTAACAGAACAACCTGCTTTTACTCGTAGAGATCAGCAAATAGTGATCCCGAAGACCTAATCAGGCCGCTATTTTGGCCGAAATACAACGCGTATCTTCAATTTTGATGCAATACAAGAGACAACTTTCTTTGGTTCATCTCGGTGTTGCGTCTGACTATCGACGTCTTCATGTAGACTCCGTATAGCATCCGACTATGGTTTCTATGAATGCGACGCAATCGGGCAATGCACGTAAGACAGGACTTCAGTTATGATTCACAGAGAAGTTTGGTGCATGGCAGTTTTCATGGCTCATAAGCTGTGGATAAATAATTGGAGACACATTTTAATGCTTGTTCATTTCTTTATCATTTTTCACGAATTGTGTACTTTACTCTGAGCGCTGGCCTTACTACCAGACTTAACATAAATGGCAAAACAAAACACTTTCAGAGAATAGAGCCCTGGGAATTATCTCTTGACAACATGGTTTGTCTAAAAAAATCACTAAAATATGTTACAGCAGTCAGTACAAGTGCGAAGAAACCCGCCGAAGAGGAGAGGATGGGTTACGTGCTGTTGTACCCAAGCACCAACTGTGCAAAACATAACTTCGGCAAAAGCTTGCCCGTGAGCGCGTAATTGTTTCACCGATCGATTTGTTACTATACGACTTTTTCTTCCCCCTTCTATGTTTGTCAAAGCAAGATGAGAAACAGGAAAGCTTACCCGAGAATGTTGCTACGGGGTTTGCATGGTAAAAGGGAAAAAGAGGGGGGAGGGCGTTGAATACACGTCTTTATCGCAGATTTCTCTTTCCTGGCTTCTGTTTTATGAAACGATTTTAGATATTTTTTTTACATTGCATAATGAAAAAAAGGGGTCAAGGCAAATTTTCTGTTGCTTTTTTTTATGCCTGTCAGCAAGGCTAGGAATATAGATGGCCGGCGCAGACAGAATTGACTGGAATGAGGTAGAAAAGCAGTCTGTAAAGACGCCGAAGGCGGTCTCCAGAAGAAAGTGAAGAAAATGTGCTTATCGATCGTTGCTTCTAGCCAGTAAAAAATCTGCGCCTAGAGAAGGCACTCGTACGTATCGAGCTGCGTCGCATCGACTCCCTGGTTCGCGGACATCGGCTGCTGCTGTGCCTCCTGGCTACGCCGCGCACGCCATTTGCCTATACTTCCATTCCCCTTGCGCGCGCGCTCTTGTTGAGGAAAGAGGTGAAGCCCACAGCCGCGTTATAGGTCCACACTTGCGCAACGGCGAGCCGCCGCTCTCCCAAGTGGCGCTGTGAATCTGAGTACGCATTTCGCTCCTCGCTGAGCCTCTACGCAGTAACGTCCATGTACGGTCCGGGTGGTGATTCTTCGAATGTTACGTTCACAGCGGCATGTAAAATTTATACGGCGTTGCGCTCAAAACTCGATCTTCTTTCGCCTTCTTTCCGTGTTGTCGTCGATCCACTTCTCTGCACATGAACGGCGCGAAGTGTACGTTTGTTCGTTTCTGAGCGTCGAGATGCGTGGATACGGAATAAAACTATAAAAGCAGTGCTTCCATTTTGCGCAGCTGGCAGCGCTTGCCTAATATTAGGCTGGTTCGATAGTCTAGCGGGAAGGACAGCATAGGCTGCCCTTCCCGCTAGTCTTAGCAGCGAATGCATAAACAGGACATTGCCGTAATCAAAGAAAGGCCCACACGCTGCTTGATATGTTGGGAATCGATTAACTACTGAACAGAAATTTTTTGTTAGTTTGTCTGGCCTACATGAAGAGTCATATCACACAGCGTGAATCAACGCTGCGTTCATATCTAGGAGCCCGCCATGGTATATAAAGCCTCGTAGCACAGTCCACGAAATGTAATGGGAAAGTAGAGTTGAAACACGCAACGATATGTTTGTAGTTCTAGTCGGACAATTAGGAATACTCTTAGTGGTATATCCATAGTATCTCACAAATACCTAGAGGATAGTGTGGCACCACCGTCTATGCGAATTTTTTAAGGGGCGATGTTGGAGCACTGCAATGACGGTATGAGTGTCTGCGAGGCTTGCGTTGGCTGGTGTTGAGTGCAGGCTTTGGCTCAAAAGCGAATAAGATTGCGTAAATAAAGCTTCTCTAAAACTAAACGTTCATAGGTGGATCTCGTTCACGTGTATTATATTCTAAAATAAAAGTCCACTCACCTTGACGGCACAACCAAACAGTGAAGAAAAAAAAAACAAAAAACAGACGACATAAACGTGGTGGAAAAAACGCTCGTTTTGTCGTCTGCCTGCCAAGTTTAGCGGCCGTTGGTTACTTCTTACGCTTCGTAAAATTGTACATAGACGCAGAAGGTTCCAGTGTTAAATAAAACACGTTTATGTGCAATGACAACAATAAATAGCTTATTACGTGCTCCTTTAGTAAGAAATCAATCATTTTAACGTGAAGCCAGACGCGTCTTCGAGGTATACAAATCCGAATCAAGTTCGAAGCTCACGTATCCTGTCATTCCCTTGCATCCAGCAACTCGCTAGCACCAGATTTCCCTCTAAGTATGGTTGCGAGAAACTCTATGGGTATATCTGTAAGCATTCACAACGAAAAGAAGGAAGCTGGTGGGAGTCCGCCCAGCTCCAATTGCAGCTGCCATATTTAGCATAACGCACAAGACCCCCCCCCCCCCCTCCCCCCGGGAGAACTAAGGATATTTGGTGTATAGGCACGTCACTTGGAAAATTATTTCGATTTAAAAAAATGATGAAAAACGTCGAGTCACTCGATCATGGCTAATTATTTTGGATCTACGGCGTTCATGGCACGTATTAAACAAATACGTATAATTTTTTTGAAGCCGTAAGCCATGTAAACACTGTGCACATGAATACTATAACACAAATATGTGTTTATTAAAATAAACACTGAAATACTAAAAAAAGACATGGGTGCAAGGAAAAAAGGATGTATACAAATTTTCTTATAGCTATGATATTCAATGTCCTGCACGCTTGAGACCTACAGAACGTCTTTTTAGACCTCTTGGAAGGAGGGCTGTTTAGGCAGGTTCCATAACGTACCACTAAAAAGTATTCAGCCAGAATGGGCACAATATTTATTTTTCCTGATTACTAAGAATGCGGATGCCCCGTGTAATACAATAACTCCGTGCCACATGATTTCAGCGCATAGAGGGGAAGCCTCTAGACGTCGAATTGGGGCTATGCGACTGGGGTCTCCAGAAGCATATGCAGAAACCGAAATACGTTGCACAGCTGCACCGTAACGCGTTTGGCCTTCGCACCACAGCCGTGCGCTTCAAATTCTCTCAGAGTGTTTACTGAGATGTTAACGAAATTGTGAAATGAATGCTAAAGAAAAAGAAAGAAGCAAAAAGTCGCGACACGTTAAGCGGAACTTAAATGTCCACTCATTTATAGTTTCAGCTAACTGAAAGACGGATAATTTAGTACGGTGGAAAGGTAGACTGAGCTGTGTTCTGGCCTGCTATCTGAGTGCGTATCTTCATACTCTGTTTGTAAATGCGCTGCCGAAAGAGCACGTATCTCATATTGCGTGAGCATTATACTTTTTCATGTACACTTCAGGGTGGCCTTACAGCATCGTCCGGGAGCTCTCCTTGTGGCACTGAATTCGATGTTTTCCAGGAGTACTGGCAGCTTACACGACGCCGAATTATCCCAATCTGCCGCTTACTATCGATTTGCGTTGTAATCGGGTTGACGTGCAGTCAAACAAAATTACACAAGCATCACCCACGACGGCAATCAGCCTTTCCGTTTGCTCATTACACCTACAGCATTACGGACGCACAAGTTTAGCTTGTACTTTTCGCAGTGTGCTTACAGCGCAAATTTTAGTTCTCACTCTGCTAAGCAAATTTTGTGCACACGTCTTCAACGTAGCCCACTTTTATACTCTTTTTATTAAGCACGAAAATAAGGTGTCTTTAAATGCCGGTCATAGTTTGGCATTATTTTGCTTTAGGGAGCAAGCTATTATTGGTGCAGGTCGCAGTTGCGAAGCGGTTGTTTTCACGTTTTCAACCTGCTTGTTAGCCAGGCGAGAACCATTGCCCACGAATGTCTCTGCATTTCATCGAACGTATATTTGTACCGGTGTCTGAGTTAATACAAATCTGTCGGTGGAGTGCTTACTTGGTCAGTTTACAATTCTCAGTATATGCACCTGTCTGGTAAAAATTATGACTAGCCAGTTTCACACAACCATGAGTGTGTGTGTTTTTGTTTTCACAGCACAGGACGTAAAATGATAAATACGCATACAGT